GGGAAGGGGTCCATGGTGGTGGCATGACTGAGTCCAGGTAGGCAGAGGGGCAACAGAGGACCATAGATTCCAGCTTGCACATTCTCCCTAGGCAGGAAGGTCCCAGGGAGAGATTTCAGGGTCTCCATGAACTTGCACTAGGACAAACTCTGCAGCTTTCTGGTCAATAACCACTAACTGAAATCTAGCATTTCTGACAACTACAAATACAGTATGGAGGACGAATGACAGTAGCCATTACTGGTATCTTTAATTTTTTACCAATTTGTCATCAATAGAAGTCCGATATATTTTCAGAGCAGGTTAGAGTGGAAGCAGATGTTGTTTACACTCATCACTACTTTGAAATGACAGAAGTTATTAGAACCACCTCTAGAACTTTCCATTTGAATTATTGACAAAGAAGCACATGTATTGCTACAGTAGAATTTTAAAAAAATATTGGATATTTATATTTTGACATAATTGGGTTACTTTGTAATTCTATGTATTATTTTATGCATTTAGAAATAATATTCACTAAATTACCAGAGAAAGTCTGAAGCACAGAAATGGATACAAATCCCATTCCTCAATCTCTTAACCTCTTGGGTCCAGTCTTCTCTGAATATTGGAGATAAAAATCTCTCCCCTCCAGTATTACTGGGAGAATCAAATTCGATACTGTGCATGAACATCCACATGCCACATACAAGGTGTTTTCAGGATTCAAAAGATATAAACTGAATGTGATACTCCAAATGGAAAAAAATAGCAACAAATCACGTGCATCAGTTTGGTAGGGCTGCCATAACAAAACACCACAGACTAGGGGCTTTAAACAATGGAAATTTATTTTCTCACAGTCCTGGAGGCTGGAAGTCTGAGATCAAGGTGTTGGTAAGGTGGGTTCATTCTAAGGCCTCTCTCCTTGGCTTGTAGATGGCCGTCTTCTCCCCGTGTCCTCACATGGTCTTTCTTCTGTGCATGTCTGTGTCCTGATCTCCTCTTATAATGGCACTAGTCACATTGGATAAGGGGTTACCCTAATAAGTGCATTTAAATTATTTACCTCTTTAAAGGTTATATCTCCAAATACAGTCACGTTCTAAAGTATTGGGGGTTAGGATTTCAACACATGAATTCTGGGGGGAAATAAGTCAGCTCATAACATCATATTAAAAAAAGGATTGAGTACCTACCCAGGTCAAGGGAGCAGAAGGGGCTTTCACCTGCCTTGTCTCACACCCATGGCAGGTGACAGACCTCTTTGTCCTCACTCCTCCTGGTTACTTCTCCAAGTAGGACCTCACATGCTACCACCTCATACAACCAGCTCCCTTCCTAGTTTTGGTTCCAGTCTCTCTAAGGAAAATTAGAAGCAAAACTCCAAAGCAAAGAAAGGCCAAATGTTTGTAAGTGAAGTTGGAAAGTACACGCCCCTTCCTTGTTTCATAAGGGAGGCTCATGGGGGACACTTACTCAAAGCAAAGACACGCTCTATAAACATCAAGAGAAGATCATTGCTACATCGAGCACGTTTTCAAGTATCTTGGGAGAGCAAGAGCGTACTTCCATTCAGCCTATACATACATCTGGAGGTTACCAAATGACACTTCCATGTGCTTCCCATACTAAAGTAATCTGGGAAACAGATATGAATAATTTGCTAATCAGGAGAGGGACTTTATGCATAGCAAATAGTAAACATCATTGCCTTTCAAAGCAACCTTGGACTTTGTTTTGCCTTTTCCATTTGCACCTGGGGATCTGTTTGTACTATCTGGTCTTTCTTTTGAGTGGATCACATATATCAGATGATAAATTGGACAGGGATCTTATTTGACCTTTCCCCAATCCCCTTGCTAAAGAGATGATCAGATCTTTTCAAATATCGTCTAGTTGGTAAAACAGAGCACACAAGGGGCAGGCATTAGGATTGTAATTTAACAGTGAGACAAGTGGATTCCAGAAGTCTCAGTCATCCTTGGAGCCTCAGGGCTTTCTGAGTAGGCCAGTCATAGAAACAAACACTGGCCTATATGTTACAAGTCTTTGAAAATAAGATGGGCCTGGGGAGAAGTTAGATATTGGATTCAATGAACACTGGGCAATAAGTCTCGTGAGAAGTTTAATACCTCTTCCTACTGTCTTTTTTTCCCCCCTAAAAACTAGACCATTTTTTTAAAGAACAGTTTTAGATTTACAGAACAATTGAGCATATAGTACAGAGATGTACCATATATACCCGCATACACAGTTTCCAGTGTTAACATCTTTCGTAAGTGTGGTACATTTGTTACAATTAATGAACCAATATTGATAAAGTCTGTAGTTTACAGTAGAGTTCACTCTGTCTGTTGTACAATTCTATGTTTGGACAAATGCATGAATGGCATGTATCCACCATTACAGTATCATACAGAGTGGTTTCACTGCCCTAAAAATGCTCTATGTTCTGCCTGTTCATCCCTCCTCTCCTATCCCCCTGAAGCCCTGGCAACCACTGGTCTTTTTAGTTTTGCCTTTTCTAGAATATCTTGGGTTGGAATCATATAGTGTGTAGTCTTTTCAGATTGGCTTCTTTCACTTAACAATATGCATTTTATTTTTTATTTTTTTTTATTTTTATTTATTTTATTTTTTCCCCCCAAAGCCCCGGTGGA